CCCCGGGGGTCTCATCCTGGACCCACAGTGCCGTGCCGAAGCAGCATGGCCCAGCCGGCACCGGGATGTGCCGCTGCCCTCCCTAATGCACCCAGCCCCAGCCAAACCCAGCAGCAGCAGCACGTGGGATGTGAACCCTGGGGTCCCCCCCATCCCGGAGCATCCCGGAGCATCCCGGAGCATCCCGGGGCATCTGGGGACCGCGGAGGGTCCCCCAACTTCGCCGCCGCCACCGCTTGTCTCTGCCTTGGTCCGGGATCCCGCTCCCCAAACAGTCTCGGAGGGCGTCAGACAAGGAGCTTGGAGAGAAACTGGAGGTTGAGGGGGAAAGCGTCCGTCCGGCTATCGCCCCGAGATGGTGCCTCCCATCCCCGGAGCCGAAACGGGGGCTGGAGGGTTCGGATTTGGCACAAAACGCACTTTACAGCCCTTCCGGGACATCCCGATGCTCCGGCTCTGCGGGTGCCTGCGGGAGAGAGGAGCCCTTCAGCCTCCGCTGCGTGCGGCGGTGGAGGCTGGGGGGGCCCATAGGGACCCCACCGGCACCGGTCCCCTTTTGGGGGCAGCCCCCCCGCACCTGAGGACCTATGTCACCTCCTCGGCCGTGTCCTCTGGCACCCGGCGGATCTGCTCATAGACGGTGGTGACCGGTGCTTTCTGCGGCGGGCTCTGGCTCTGCTCCTGGTTATTTTCGGGGTGACCGAGGCCCTGCAGCAGAAATTGGGGGGCTGGTGAGGGACTCACTGGCCCCGCTCCCCTCCCCTGGCCCCTGCGGGATGCTCTGCCCCGGCATGGAGCCCAGCCTGCGCCCATGGGTGTCCTGTGGGGCTGGGACCCTGCTGTGGCCGGGACCTTCATGTGGCCAGGACCCCAGTGTGGCTGGGACCCCTGGGGTTCCTGGGACCCCCAGCATGGCTGGGACCCCTGTGATGCCATCACCCCCGGTGTGGCTGGGACCCCCAGTATGGCCAGGACCTCAGTTTGGCCAGAACACCCTGGCGTGGCTGGGACCCCCAGTGTTGTTGGGACCCTGGTGCCGCTGGGACCCTTGGGGTGGCCAGGACCCCCAGTGTGGCTGGGACCCGCAGCGTGGCCATGACCCCCAGTGTGACCAGGACCCCCAGTGTTGCTGTGACTTCAGTGTGGCTGGGACCCCCGGTGTGGCCAGGACCCCCAGTTTGGCTGGGACCC